TGTGTGTGTGTGTGTGTGTGTGTGTGTGTGTGTGTGTGTGTGTGTGTGTGTGTGTGCGCGCGCGCGTATGACTATGTGACTCGCTCATAACTTTTGAACGACTGAACCGATCGGAACGTACCAAACGGCGTTCTAAAGAGTTTCCTCAAACTTAGATTTCCTGAGAATTTCAACCGATTCGGACTGATAGATTTCGAGAAATTTTGAAAAATCTCAAAAAAAATAAGAAAAAAATCATTTTTGAAAGTGATTTTTTTGGAATAACTTTTAAACGGCTGTATCGATCAACTTCAAAAACTAATCCGCACTTAAGCTTGAAAAACCACGCCGATCGTTGTTAATCCGGTCAAAATCGGTGGATTCGTTCGAGAGATATCATGAGTAAGGCTTCGTGACGTTGTCAAAGCATTTGGCAACGCAGGTATGCTCAAAGATTATAGGGATGACGGTAGACAAGTAACAAACGAACGAGACACATACAGGGATAACTAAATATTATAGCTCAACAGGCCTTACGGCTACACCTCCCCGCATGGGCCCCGCTGGGCAACTGGTCGGATTGTCATTATATTACCGGCCAGGCCAACGTAGTCGTTGAATGGAGTTGTACAGGGGAAGTTTGATACAGTGAACAATTACGAGGACAGATTGACATTAAATTAAATACAACTCCATTCACATTCTGTCCAGTGATAGCGTAAAAGCTGGAGGGCAGGGTTTTTCCTTGCCCGGCGAGTTGACAGTGCTTTTGTTTTGGTGAGATTTGGGTTTTATTTTAAGTGTGTGTATAGCTTTTTTAAGCCCAGGAAACGGCCTGTTCGAAAGGAGGTAGACGAAAGTCTCACCAAATAACTCGTTCGAGAGATATAGTGACCGAAAAAAGTGTTTTTTTGACATAACTTCGTCATTTCTTCTCGGATCGTTGTTGATGATGTAGAATAATTTCAGAACTTCAAAAACCGCGTCGATTGCCGCCAAAAACGTGTAAATCGGTTGATTGGTTCGAGAAATATCCTCGATAAAATATTTGGAAACATGTGTTTTTTCAACAAAACTCCGACATTTTTTGGAATAACTTTGAAACGGCTGCACTGATCGATTTCAAAAACTAATCAGCTATTAGCATAAAAAAATTACGTTGATTGCCGTCAAGCCAGTCAAAATTGGTCAATTCGTTCAAGAAATATCATGCCCTGATTAAAGAACCGAATTAACAACAATGGAAACAGAATTAAACAGAATTTGTTTTCCAATTATGTTTCCATTGTTGTTAATTCGGTTCAATTCGGTTCTTTAATCAGGTTGAACGAAAGAAAACCAAAAAAAGTGTTTTTTTGGAATTACTTCAAATTTCCTAGTTTTATCAATTCAAACTTAAAGATTCTTCATGTAACTAAAAAAAATTGCGTCAAATACTGCCAACCGCGTGAAAATCAGTTGATTCATTCAATAGTTAGTGCGGTTTGAAAATTTTTAAAATATTGTTCTATGATACTTCTATCAGACTTTTGAGTTCGAAGAGCTTTAAATAACACATAAATTGTAATTTTGAGCTCGAAGAGCTCAAAAACATCATTAGTGCAGTTTTATGCCCCTAGGTATGGAATTAGCGGGAAGTTGCACGGATAGCCTTCAGGGTCTACCGTTTTTCTAATTTTTTTTGTTTTAATCAATTACACAATTTATTTTTTCTTAAAAAATGAATGAGCGTTATGAGGCGTGCACTTTTGGATTTTCCAAACTTTTTCCGAGTCCTGTGAAAGTGATTCTTCGAGCTACGATTCGTTTTTATGATAATCGAGTTTCCCGCAGTTTCGGTGACCTGGTCCCCTCTTAAATTGTTATTTTTTTCTTCTGTGAATTCATAATCGGCGAACTTTTGTTTGCCGGAGTCGTTACTCCGGTTACGAACTCATATACTTTCAATCTTTGTTTTATATTGTTATTAGTTAATAAGTGAATAGTGTAAGTTAAGACGGCAGTGATTACCAGTTTGTGACATTCAACGTTAGACTGGCATCTGCTCCGGTTTCACAACCCATCCTTTTCAAGCGGAAGTGGAACGCCAAAAAGCTTGATCTATAGGCACTGCGAGCGTCCCTAACACGAAGCTGGTCTACTCTGCAGAACAACCCGATCCCAAATACTCGCAGCGAGACAGAAAAAACAGTACTAAATACGATGAAAGAAATCGCTGCCTCGTGTGACGCTTGTATGCTGCAGCTGAAAAATCGGGGTTTTCGCAGACCGGCGTACTGGTGGTCACCAGACATGGCAGAAATTCAGAAAAAATGCCACGAGCTACGTCGGCTGAGTGGCATGACCGATGGACAACCGGGGAAACAGGCAGATGGACGGCACGCTTGATTCCGAACTTAAACGTCTGGCTTTCTCGAAAGCATAGAGAAATGGACTTCACTCTGACTCAGCTATTGACGGGACATGGACAGTTAAATGCCTATCTTTTCAAGATGGGTTTGCACAGCACGCCAACATGCAAATACTGCCCAGACAAAATTGACGACTTCAAAATCAATTGATTTGTCAGAAAGTTATTGCAGCTAACATGTTTTCAACAGACTCAACTTTTGAGCTCGAAGATCTTAAAAGCGTATAACAGTTCTATCTTGAAGCTTTGAAAGGTAAAAATTGTTGTAAAACCATGTTTCAGCTCAAAAACGTCATAATAGGAGAAGTTTAGAGCGCTTTACATTTAAAAGGAGCGGAAAGTTGCAGGGATGACCTGTAGGGTCAACCGTTTTACTAATTTTTTTTAAAGATTAAAAAAAAATGTTTCCGTTCATACATTCCCAAAAAAAAAAAAAAAGAATTACATTTAACCTCTTTTGTCGATAAGAAATTGATAAATTTGTTTGATCTTCATTAAGAAAAATAAAAATGTTTTTCATACTTGGATTTTTTTCAGCTGTTGACGTAATTCTTCGACTTCAGTTCGAATTTTTCGTTCGGCTGCCATTAATTGAACTTTATCACGTTGTTCTTTTCCTACACCTTTGTACATATCAAGTAAAAGCTTCATTTCTTTCATTTCATTGACCGTTTTTCTATAAATCATTTTATGAATATAAGATATAATCGTAAATACTACATTTAATATACATTTGAAATTTTACTTACTTTAATTGTGCTTTCAAGTCTCTAACGATTTCTGACTCAATACCTTTTGAATCCTTAATTCGATGTAATGTATTTTCTTTATGATCAACTTTTACAATTGCATCTTTCCTAACATCTTTTTCACGTTTTATATCTTTATCTTTTTTTATAGAAGACAGAAATAATGAATGAGAATCAGTAGTACTTTTACTTTCACCTTCACTTTTTTCGGTAAAATCCATCTCTTCATCGATGGCTAATTCTCGTTTCATGACAGTAATTCCTTCGTCTTTTATCTTCAATGATAATTTTGAATTAAATCACTTTTTTGCTAATATTATAGACTAAAACTAGTTTATCAAATTTACCTGAATTGTTCCCGATAGATAAGTTGATGAGTCTTCTTCTTTTCCGCTACCATCTGAACTATTACCTTCTTTACTTTCCTGAGCAACTTGTTGTCCTAGTTTTGCTGTCAGATCCTCAATTTCTTTTTTCAACTAAAATAAAATTGAAAATAACTTTTACAATAATTTTTGATGATACACGATTTAATTAAATCTGCAATGATATTCAATTATTGCAAGATAATTTTATTAAATTTTCGAAGAGCTGCAGATTAATATCGTATCGATACTGCCTTTCTAATACGTCGTATCCCACAAAATTTGAAAATTTGATATTTTTTTAAAAATAGAATCATAACAATATTATGCAAGTAATATTAAAAATTTAAAAGAAAAATAGTTTAATAACTTTTTTTAATTAAATATTTTCGAATTTTTAAATAAATATTGTCGAATCCCATTTAATCAATGCTAAAAATAAACCTTTTCACCGTCTTCTGTAAAATTTTCTAAATGTGAGATACGACGTATGAAATCAGCTGTATCGATATTCTGTCAACTGGACAGTTGATTAGCAACACACCTTTGATGTAGCTAAAGCTTCCCGCTAATATAACACTACTATCTCGCTGTGATTGACACATAGTCACAAATGGAAACATCGTCTATTGCAATTACTATGGCAGCTTCCTGACGTTCAAAAACTATATTTTAAGCTTCATTAGTTGTCACAATAGACGGCAATGACTTTTTAGAGCATAAATTTTGATCACGATTTGAAATTGTACTGTGCATCGAACACGTATTAAATTAGAGTTATTGGTCACGAGTGTAATTCAAAAATTGTTTGACAATTTCTAAAATTTATTTTTAACTTTAACCGCTAAGAAAATTAAAAATTTTCAAAAATCGGGAAGTTATTGGTTTTACCGCGTTTTGCGAAAATCGAGTTTTCGTTTCATCAGATCTCGACGTTTTAATGTCACAGAAAGCTTTCCTGACTCTTCCCGCGATGGTGTCCATGCGGCTGTATATATATATATATATATATATATATATATATATGTGTGTGTGTGTGTGTAAGTGTGTATGTATGTAAACCTCTCATAACTTTTTAACGGCTCAGCCGATCGGATCGAAATAGGTGGCGATCCAAAGAGTATCATTGCCATTAAATTTCGTGAAAATTTGAATCGATTCGGTCCGTTAGATTTTGAGAAATCTCAAAAATAAATTTTTCAAAAATTTATTCCGCTCATAAGTTTGGAAAACTACATCGATTGCCACGAGTCCCGTCAAAATCGGTTGATTCGTTCAAGGGTTATCGAAAACGAAAAATTTCGAAAAAAGTGTTTTTTTCACATAATTTCGACATTTCTTTTTGGATCGTTTTTGATGAAATGGAATAATTATTAGAGCTCAAAAAACCACGTCGATTGCCACCAAGAACGTGAAAATCCGTTTATTCGTTCGTGAGTTATCGCTGTCGAAAAAGTTCAGAAAAAGTGAATTTTTCAAATTTCTCTAAGATTTTCGGTTCGATCAGTTTTTGTTTGAAAGTATATCATAGAATTGATAAAACTGTATGGAATACTGCCAACTGCGTGAAAATCTGTTCATTCATTCAGAAATTATTGCAGTTTGCTAGCAGTTTAATGAAACAGTATTTTTTGAATTTTCAGACTTTTGAGCTCGAAGAGCTCAAAAGCTTAGAACAGCTAACTCTATGAGCTCAAAGAGATCGAAATAACATACAAATTATATTTTTGAGCTCGAAGAGCTCAGAACGTCATAAAAGCAATTTTAAGCGCTTAGATATGGAATTAGCAGGAAGTTGCAGGGATGGCCTTTAGGCTCAACCGTTTTCCAAATTTTTTTTACTTAAGGTAGTACTACCGTTACCCCAAGAGTCAAATCATAAAATCTAACCTTATTTGATTAACGTAGTAGATTTCCCTATACTAAATCACGTTGGAGAAAGAGAGACAGAGATAAATTTTGAATGTTTTTTATTAATAAATACTCTCATATTCTTGGAAACCATACTGATTATTATTGAATATGTTCTAGATGTTATTTTCTCTCGTTGCCTTGATTTTTATAAGAATCTGAACGTCCAGTTTTGTGAAATAAAATAAAGTATGTGATTCTCCATAAGGATCAATGGTAAAAGCAAAAATATGTAGATATTAATATCTTTTTTTCGGGACTTGCTCAGGTTCCAAAAATTTTACTGCTTAATTATGATATTATAAAGTACCAATATGCTTAATTTCATTAAATTCTAAACGTCAATTCTAAAACCGGTAGTACTACCTTAAGATCAATTGCAAACACGATTAATGTGTATCTTAAACAATTTAAAATAAAAAAAAAAATAAAAATCAATTACCTTAGGAACTTCAGTTGATGCTTCTTTGTATTTACGTTTATAACGATGTACTTCACCCTTTAGCTGTTGATTATGATTTTGCAAAGATGTAATGAGGTGTCTCATTTCACGATTTATTGGACCAGTTTGTTCATTTGCAGCCAAATTTTGTTCAAATTCAATGCGTAACATTTCATATTCCTTGCGTAATTGGGCTAATACATCTTCTAGTTGAATGCATTCACCACGCAATTTTTTTTGAGCCATTAGTTCTTCACTCTAGAAAAATTTTTTGTATCATTTAGTTAAAGTTATAAATACATAGTATACATTGTGACAAACAGCGCAAATCAACCCAGGTGGTAAATATTTTAAGTCTAAAATTTCTTGAAAATTTTGTTTTTATTATCGTCCTGAAAATGAGTTTTAATTAATGACTAATTAATCTTTAGTTAATATCCGAACGGGACAAGCTCGAAATTAAAAATTACAAAAATCCATGAATAAATTCGAACAAATATTATTGTGAGATATTTCAGTGTATTGGTGAGTTACCATTCTTTAGATCCATTGGTTTATAAAAAATAAGCCACGCCTTTTTGAGATCTACTTTGAATAGTTTCCTACCTCCAAGACCGAAACTTTATAGAAAGTTTACTGTATTCATTCAGAAGATATTTCAGTTCTAAAATTCCAGAAAATAAATTTCGTTACAAAAATTTTAAAATTTGTTTACACTCATCCAATTTTTGAGCTTGAAAAGTAATACTACTTGTTTTTTTTTTAGCTAGAAAAACTTAATTACTTACGGCTATGTATTGAGACACTGCAAAATGTCCCGACTTTATCAGCCTGGCGAACTACCACCCGAAATTTTCGTTACCGACACTAGCTAAAATAATGTGTAGCTCCCGTGACGTCACAGGACGACACGAGGAGGGGAAAATCAGCTACGAACCTCAAAACATGAGCATTGATCGACACTTCGATCTATCCCCCGGTGTTAATCACCACGCTAGATATTTCTTATTTTAGTACTATACTACTATTACCACTATCAGGTGATTACTCACCAAAACATACTAAAATTTATAAAACTTACTACTAATCAATTTAATATTCTTTTTTACTACTATTAGGTGACTATTCACCATAATTTACCACTAATTCGCTATTATATCTCTAATATTAAATAATATTTATCCTATTGTTACAAATATTTCATTTTGCTAAGTTACGTTACCGAAATACCACAAGTTTATATTAAAAGTGCTTATTTTGTGTAATAAAGTTAAGTTTATTGTTATCACCGCTATATACTATTTTACTATTACTGAACTACCAATATTCACCTATCTATTTACTACGACCGTCTATATTCAACCAAAAGGGTCAATCAAGTACGCAGAAATTTGTAAGTAAGTAAGTAAAACAATATAACTGGCACACGTGAGAACTTTTGCCAAACAATAAAATCATTAAAAAGAATTAATACATTTAGTAGTCAGGGAGCGGAACATCCCAGATAGTCTAGTCAACAAGTTCAAAAACGTGAAAAATAGAGATAAAGATCCTAAAAATATGAGCGATGGCTCATTCGATTCGTAATCACCTCTAGAAAAATGTTTTTGAAGGATTTTGGTGCAGGTTAAAAATTGCAATTGTTATTAACAAAATAAGATGAAAAAAAAATGATGTTTCGTTTTTTGTTAATAACTCGAAAAATATTAACATTTAAGAAATTTTGAAAAAAGCCCGTTAAAGAGGAGGAAATTTCCAATAAAAAAGTCTTGACTCCCGGAATTCTATCTCCATTATTTATAATTTTAATTAGACGTTGAAAATAGGGCTCCGCGCGGCAGTTACAGCATGCGCGCGCCGCCGCTAAAGAGAGTTCAGCAGTAAAAATAATTTTTTTATAACATAAAA